GCTCTTTAGGAAGGACAGGCCGGGAAGACCAGGAGTTGTCTTTTATGTGAGAGCAGCTGGAGTGCCTGGAGCTCTGCCTGGGGATGGATGATGAGCCAATGCAAGGATGCAAGTAACAGAAGGATTAAAGAGCAGACCAGTGTGGGTGACAGTGTAATAGGTGACTGCTATAGGTTACCTGACCAGGAAGAACAAGCAGATGAGGTCCTGTACATACAGATAGGAGCAGCGTTAGTTCCCAGGCCCTGTCCTCATGAAGGACTTCAGTCCCAGAGAGCACCAATGACAACTTCCTGACCAAAGTGACAGAGGAGTCAAGGAGGACAGGTGCTCTGCTGGACTGCTTACTCACGGACACTGGGGATGTGAAGGTTGAAGGCAGCCTTTGCTACAGTGACCATGAGATAGTGGAGATCCTGAGACAGAAGAGGACAAAATGCAAGCTCACAACCCTGGAGAGAGACCAGACTTTGGCCTCTTCAAAGATTTGCTCAGAAGGGTCCCATGGGATAAGGCCATGGGCGCTGACGGGATGCACCCATGAGTGCTGAGGGAGCTGGCAGATGCCATTGCAAGGCCACTCTCAATACTCCTTTATTGATCGTGGCAACTGGGAGAAGTGTCTGAGGACTTGGGGGAAAACAAATGTCATTCCTGTCTTCAATAAGGGCAGGAAGGAGGACCCATGGAATTACAGGCCAGTCAGCCTCACCTTGATCTATGGGAAAGTGATGGAGCAACTAATCGTGGAAACCATTTCCGGAAACATGAAGGACAAGAAGGTGATTGGGAGTAGCCAGCATGGATTCACCAAGGGGAAATCACGCTTGACTAACCTGATGAGCAGGGAGTCAGGCAAAAATGTGTGGATGAACTAGGGGCTCCTGGCTCACAAAATGGAAAGCCCACTCAAACTTAAAAAGGAAGCATACAGAAGGTGGAAGCAAGGATGCGTAACTTGGAAGGAATACAAAGACACTGTCCAAGCATGCAGGGCTGATGTTAGGAAAGCCAAAGTCCAACTGGAATTGAATCTGGTGAGTGGTATCAAAGGCAACAAGGAGGGCTTCTACAAGGACATGGGTGACAAAAGGAAGGTTAAGGAAAATGCGGGCCCACTGCTGAATGAAATAGCGAACCTGGTGACATGGGACATGGAAAAAGCTGAGGTACTGAATCCACCTTTGCCTTGGTCTTTACTAGCAAAACCAGCCTTCAGGAATCCCAGGTCCCAGAGACCAGAGGGAAAGGCTGGAGCAAGGAAGATGTACCCTTGGTGGAAGAGGATCGGGTCAGGGAATACTTAGGCAAACTGAACATGAGCTAACAGTCTGCCCATGCTGCGAAGAAGACCAACTGTATCTTGGGCTGCATTAGGAGTGCTGCCAGCAAGTAACTCCACACTGGTGAGGCCATACCTGGAGTACTGTGCTCAGTGCTGGGCTCCCCAGTACAAGAAAGACATGGACATACTGGAAGAGGGTGCAGTAAATGGTCACAAAGATGATGAAGGGACTGGAGCACCTCTCCTAGGAGGAAAGACTGAGAGAGCTGGGAGTGTTGAGAAGAGAAGGCTCAGGGGGATCTTATAAATACCTCATGGGAGGGTGCAAAGAGGATGGAGCCAGGCTCTTTTCAGTGGTGCCCAGCGGCAGTGGGTACAAACTGAAACACAGAGAGTTCCCTCTGAACATCAGGAAACAATTTTTTTTTCAGTGAGGCTGACTCACAGTAAAGACAGAGAGGTTGGGAAGTCTCCCTCCTTGGAGATACTCAAAAGCCGTTTGGATATGGTCCTGGGCAACCGGCTCCAGGTGGCCCGGCTTGAGTAGGGTGGTTGGACCAGATGAGTTCCAGAGGTCCCTTACAACCTCAACCGTTCTGTGATTCTGTACTGTTCCAAACTTTATAAAATAGTTATTTACAACTAATTGATAGGAAGCATTCAGACAATGCAGAGATGTTGAAATCAGTCTCCACACGCAAGAGTTACAATTTTTTACTACCCAAGTTGGTGGATTAATTTCTTCCAAGATAATTTTTGAAAACAAGATTGAATACTGAAGCAAAGGAAATGTATCGTCAGCAAGAAAGGGAAAAGTGAGACTACTCTATAATTCTTACATTTTCTCATTTTAAAATAATTGAAAAAAATAAGAGGAAAACATTGCCAGTTTTCTACAGAGAAATGGAATAAAGCACAATACATTTCCATGGCTTGTATACTGTATTTTTTTTGTTGAACGGGCTTTTCAATAAAACTCTAAAACTACCTCAAGGAAGAAAAATTAATTAACAACTTCACTGAAAATAAATTTGATGTCTCAAGTGCACGTCAGTGTCTGAATTTTGATAACGCATTCGACTGAGCATAACAAGCCTTCCTCTCAAAATTCATTCAAAGGCGCATCCTCACAGAAATTTTCACATACCCTGAAAAGGTAAAAGGACACAAAGTAACACAATCTTAAAGTAAGAAAATTAACATGGAGCTGAGGATTGAAAACTGTGGGACAAAAATTATTTTCTTGTTTCTTATGAGTACAGTGGGGTGCAATGGTGAGAACTGTAAGAATAATTTCCATCCACAACTTAGAAAACGTTGTAAGCAACTGAATCGGGAGCAGCGATGCCTGTGTGGGTGGAAATACCTCCAAATCCTCCTAAAGCATTCTGAATTTCAAACCGGCTCGCTGGGTCATCACCAGTCTCTCCAGTAGCTAAGCCTTAGCTGGCCTGCACTTGTGGGAGGGTCCGCACCACGGTGTTGTGGCATCTCCTCCTTTTGGTTCTGACATCTGTCAAACCCAGGTCCAAGGCTCCTGAGGGGTTTCGGTAGGCAAGACCTCGTGCCATTTAAACCATACCCCAAGGCGTGCCTTCCCAGCAAGCGCTCCATCCCAGGCTGCTTTGGAGCAGATGGTGGCATCGCTACCCCAGGGATGCACCCTTCAAAGGCCTTCACTCTTCTTCTGAGAACTGTCAAGGAACTGTGGAGCCGTGGAGACTGGGAGGGGGTGTGAAGCAAAAAAGCACCAGGATCCTACGCTCTTTGGACTGTTCAGGTACACAGAGAAGCAGAGCAAAACTTTAAGACAGAGAAGGCCTGGCGCACGAAGCTTCAGTCCAGGCGTCCGTCTGGGCGGGAAGGATGGACACAAGGCAGAGGCAATTAAGGAAAACGATGCCGTGGGAGCGTGGAATGAGGACGGGGAGCCGGTGTGCAACCTGCAGGGGAGAGCAGAAACACGACCGAAAGGACACTGGGGGAGGCCGTACAAAACCCGGGGGAAGGGCAGGGAAAATAGAAGGAGTAGGAAGGCAGGCGAGGGAGGCGTGCGGGCAGTGCCACGGAAATGAGGCAGCAGCGGGACACCCGACGTCACGGGGGGTGGGGTGAAGGGTGTGCAAACTGGGGGGCACCGCGGGAGGAGAAGCTCCGACGCGGAAAAGGTGAAGAAAAAGGGACGAAAAAGGAGCGACAACGCATGCACACCCAC